TTAATTGCCCTCAAAAATGATCTTAGCAGAAAAGGCAGGGGAATGCTTATCTAACAGTTCACTAGTAGCATTAAGGATTTTAATGGTGCTAGATAAACATGACAGGCAATTATTGAATGTTGTCAGACACTGGAAAGTAAAAATGAGATGCTAGGCAACATACCCATTTGCATTTTTATCTTTATCTCAGTTTCTAATTTGTATCTTTTAACAGTTTAATAGATCGAGTTTTATTTGAGAGATGTTTTCTGGAATATGCTATTGGAAAATCAGACATAAAAGTTTTATGTCTCCTTCCTTAGTAATACAATGTGAATCGGTCTAAAGTCATACATGTTAAATCTCACTAATGCCATAATATTTCAACAGAGAAAATGGAAAGAAAGAATTTCCATTTATCTGTTACTCTGTAAAGTAGTGACAAGAAAGATCATGTGATTCTATTTTCAGTTATGGTTACTGAATCATCAAAGCTTAAAGGTTTTTTTTGACTGTCACTTTGCAGTTTATCAAGGTGGAAAAATGCAGTTCTTCTAGAAATATTTTAATAACCTATTATGTTTGAAATACTAATATCCTTTTGCCAAACCATTGACAATATTTGGATATGATTGGGATTTTTTGAAATTTGTTGTACTTTTACAAATATTGTTAAATAGTTTGGTTATAATGTCATTGATTTGGAAATGACTTTACACATTTTTAAGTTTGATTCTATTTATTAAAAGGTTACTTTTTAAAGGAAAACAAATTATTACTGGCCTGATCGGGAGTTATTTTTTAGGCATCTCATCCTAGTTTAGACAAATTTATTTACTAACTGTGCTGCAGGAAAAAAGAATGGCATTTGAAATATATTTCAACTCAAAATAGTGAAAGGGTCTTATTTCCCCACCTCAAACCATAATTAAAGTCAAAGTATGAGGTTTTAATAGATCGATGCAATCTCTTTGAAGAATGGCTATGCTTTTTAAAATTTCAGTAAGCACTATTACAAAGTACTCCTTCAATTATTTGTTGGACTTTCCTTTGTATCATTATCAATACTCCAATATCAGAAGTACATTCAGAACTTAGCATTGGCATCTTCTTTCTGTCTTCAATGTCTCACAACTGAAAAAACCCCAACTGGCACATCTTCCCCGCATAAGATTATCTGGGGCTAATTCCCACTTTTGAAAACTCTTTCATTGTATCCTGCTCTTCATACCAAATTTGCAATCCCATTTTTTAAATGTCTTTTATTCTTCACTTACAATAAGTTTATACCCTCTGACTCATCATTTTCTCTCCTAGGAATACACCCAACAGAAATATATACATATATTCACCAAAATACATGTTTTAGAAGGTTCATAGCGGCACTGTTAATAATGGCCCCATATTGAAAACTACCCCTATGCTCACCAATAATAGAATCACTAAGCCACAGTATATTCACACAATACAGTGCCACATACCAATTAGAATAAACAACCTTCGACAATATACAATATGGATGAATCTCATATCACAATGTAGACTGAAAGAAGGCTAGCACAAATAGGTATACACTATATGATTCCATTTACATAAAATTTTTAAAAAGTGAAACTATTCTACATTGTGAGAAGTCAGGATGGTGGTTGCCCTTGTAAGAAAGGATAGTGACTAGAAGGGGACACAAAGGAGGGTTCCAGAGTCTAGGTTTCAGGGTGTGTTCAGTGAACTTTATGCTTATGAAAGATGCACTTTTGTGTATGGAGACTAAATTGAAAGTTTAAAACAAATGATGCATATCCTTGATGAAACTGTAGGAGATAATATGTAGAAAGATATACCATAAATCTTTTTATCTTCCAGATTTTCCTGGTTCCACCTGTGTCTTACAATTGTGTTCCCCAACTTCAGTCTTATACGCTCATACACCCACAAATGAGTACAACCGAAACCGGTGAAACCTGAGTAATTTCAATGGACAGTATCAGTATCGATATCTTGGTTGAAATCATATTCTAGTCACCATTGGGGAAACTGGGAAAAGTATACAAAGAACCTCTCTCTATTATTTCTTGCAGTTGCATGTGAATCTATTAACACAATTATTCTAATTTTTAAAAGTTCAACTAATAAAAAAGAGGGAGAGCTGAATAAACACAAGAAAATATATTAATTTCCAAAAATCAAATCCTATCCCAGGTGAACTCTATCAGAATGTCAGAGGGTGGTGGAAGCCTATACTTTTAACATGTGTCCCAGGTTATTTTATGATTAGGCAAGACTAGAAAATGCTAGATAGTAAATTGGCTGGCATGTTAGCATTGTTTCAATCAAGGACAGTTTGGGCACAAATTTATAGATTAAATTCGCAATGTGGGTTTAAAGGTGGTCTGATTTTCCTGTAATTAAAGAAATTGATGCTTATTGGTCCTTTTTAAAATCTATTAAATACCTAGAGTAAAAAGAATAAAATACTTAGGAATAAATATAACAAAATAAGTTCAAGACTTGTACACTGAAAACCACAAAACATCATTGAGAGAAGTTAAAAAAGATATAAATAAATGGAAAGAAATGCCATGTACCTGGATTAAGATGACGATACTCTCAAATTGATCAATGGATGTGATACAATAAGTCCTATCAAAATCCTAGCTCCCTTTTTTTTGTAGAAATTGACAATCTGATTCTAAAATGCATATAGAAATAGAAGGGATTCAAAATTGCTGAAACAGTCTTTAAAAAGGAGAACTAAGTAGAAAGACTCACAATTCCTTATTTCAAAACTTACTACAAAGTTCCAGTAGACAAGACAGTGTGGTACTGGCATAAGACTAGACATAGACATAAATGGAATGGAATTTAGAGTACAAAAACAAACACTTACATTAATAGTCAATTGATTTTTAACAAGAGTGCCAAAACAATTTAATGGGGACAGAATAATCTTTTTAACAAATGGGTTCAGATAACTCAATAGCCATATGCAAAAGAATGAAGTTGGACCCCTACCTTTCATCATACACAAAAATTAACTCAAAATGAAAAATATATGTAAATATAAGAGTTGCAACTGTAAACTTCTTAGAAAAAACCTTGGTGTAAACCTTTATGACCTTGGATTAGGTAATGATTTCCTAGATATGACACCAAAGCACAAGCAACCTAAGAAAAAAATAGATAAAT